TGCAACAGACTGGTTCTCACCTTAAAGACTGCCCTCACTAAACTGAAGCACAATAACAGTTTACATTTGAAGACAGAATTTATTTTGGTTTCTAACAGTAAGGGACAAGGTAGCTCAGTGGCTAAGACACTGAGCTTGTCGATCAGAGATGTCAGCCGTTCAGCAGTTGTAATCCCTAGCACTGCATAACAGAGTGAGCTCCCGTTACTTGTCCCAGCTTCTCCTAACTTAGCAGTTCGAAAGCACGTAAAAATGCAAGTAGAAAAATAGGAACCACCTTTGGTGGGAAGGTAACAACATTCATGGTGGCCACATGACCACGGAGACAGTGCTGGCTCTTTGGCTTTGAAATGGAGATGAGCACCACCCCCTAGAGTCGGGAACGACTAGCACATATGGGCGAGGGGAACCTTTACCTTTAGTTTTAACAGTAAGATTGGCTACAGAGGAACAACAGTCAAGCAATATAGCTAATTAACCCTAACTTTTTCTTTGATGACTATTGTTAACTGTAATCGGCATCCTCCCCACCATCCACAAATTAATTTCTGTTTTGTTTTCTGAATTTGATCTATTTTTCCATAGATAACCTATGTTTTCTATAACCTATAGATACTGTAACCTATGTTTGATAACATATACTCTATTGTAAATATTGACAACTATCTTAGGGTTATTATTTTTTTAACTTTAGTACTTATTTTGGTGAGAACTGAGCGGAGCAATGACAAAAAAAACCAAATGACTGCTCTAAGAACTTCTGTTTTGGCTTCAATTAGAAAAGGTTGTGCTTTGTGCTAGGTTTGAGGGAGGGTGTGTGTGTGTGTGTTTGTGTGTGTGCCCTGACCTCTCCCTCAAGAGCTGGGTGTCCCCATCTGAAGGTCTGGTGTATCCACTCTCGCTACTTAATGATAGTGACATTACCCATCCGCCCAGCATCATGGGGCCTTTGTCTTCATTCAAGCAGAAATGAAGTTCTCCTGGGCACACTTATCAATCACTGCAGAGCTCCAGCTGTTCAGGAGGGTTTGGATCGACTTCAGCAGTCGCGCTTACAAATTGTCTCTGAATAGCGCCGAGCGGAGACACCCCCCCTTTTTGTCATTGTCTTTCGACAAATGTTTTTTTGTGGCAGCTTTTTGCAGACATTGCCGGCTGCCTTCTGCTGCAGTGATTGAAAACAGGCCTGCTTTGCATTCTCCGCTGGAGCCCGGGGTTCAGGGAGTTCTCCCCAAGTGCCACTCTGCCTACACATTGTGCCAAAGACAATTACATGCATAGTTTTGCTGATTGCATTAAAATCATTACAATGAAAGATTCCGAAAATTGTACATTACAGGGAGAAATTAGAAAAAGCTTCGGAGACAGACAATGCGGTCCCCAAAGTGAGTGAAACAAAATTACCATCCCTTGCATTACATGCACACAATTTAAGAGGAGTTTCGATAACAAATGACCTTATTATTCCATTTCTATTCTAAGCTTTCGTCTCATCCCCTTTGGCCCTTATGTTTTCCTTTGGCTTTTGCCTTGTCCCCTCTTCTCTAATGATAGCCTCCAATGCAAAATCATGGGAGCAATTTCCTTCCTCGGTGCATGCTCCATTCTGAAATGTGGATCAGATTAAATAAAAGAGATAGGTGTGCTACGGCTGCACTATGTATTGTGTTTACAGAAATCAGGTGGATTGTAGTATGAGAAAAGGAATGAGGGGGGGGGGAACCTTCAAAATGCTTATTCTTATTTCCTTGTAGTTTTATTGGAAACCCTCATAATGCTATTGCCCTAAAGCAGGATAATATGGACTTTTGACCTCATTTCAAATATTTGGTCTCTTTTTATGTGGTGGGTTTGCAAAATATTTAGAGGTTACTTGTAACTTCCCATAAATGTTCATTGCTAAAATAATTTCTAAACAGCTTTTGAGCACAATTTAATTCAAATGCTTTAAAATGGAAAAAAAATGTAATGAAATTCCTTATCAGCCATAAATGACACAGAATAATGTATCATAAATATTAGGATACATTAAAATGTGATTTCAATGTTTTCTCAGTTATGGTTATTCATAAAACTTAAAGGAGCTTTGTTAATTCGTAAAAGGAAAAACACACCCTTAGGTGGAATTCTGTGCCAAAGAACAAATCTTGCCAGCTTAACCTAATCTCATTTTTTGACTGGCAGGAGACATCTCTTTGAGATCCATTATTTATTTATTTATTTATTTATTTATTTATTTATTTATTTATTTATTTATTTATTTATTTATTTAGTCAAACATGAGGAACCATATTTTTTGGAGTATAAGACGCACCAAGGTTTTGAAGAGGCAAATTTAAAAAACAAGTAGGTTGGTAGATAGAGAGATAGAGGGGGAGAGAAAGAGAGAGAAATGCAATAGGTAGGTAGGGAGAGAGAGAGAATAGTTAGGTAGTTAGGTAGGAAGGCAAATAAAGGGATAGAGAGAGAGAGAGAAATAGAGAGAGATTGAGTGATCGAGAAATTCAGTAGATAGGAGGGAGAGAGAGAGAATAGTTAGGGAGTTAGGTAGGAAGGCAAATAAAGGGATAGAGAGAGAGAGAGAAATAGAGAGAGATTGAGTGATCGAGAAATTCAGTAGATAGGAGGGAGAGAGAGAGAATAGGTAGGTATGTAGAGGGATAGAAAGAGAGAAATAGAGAGAGATTGAGTGATCGAGAAATTCAGTAGATAGGAGGGAGAGAGAGTGTGTAGGTAGGTATGTAGAGGGATAGAAAGAGAGAAATAGAGAGAGAGAGAAGTATAGTAGATAGGCAGGGACAGAGAGAGAGTAGGTAGGTTAGTAGATAGAGGGATAGAGAGAGAAAGAGAGAGAGAAATACAGTAGATAGGTAGGGAGAGAGAGAGTAGGTAGGTT